TATGCCTGGTATTAATTGTTGATTGATAATACTTAATGTTTTAATATTATCAATTATCTGACGCCATTAAATCAATCATAACCGCAACTAAGATAAAGTGATGATGTCATTATTCTAAGTGTTGACGTCATGCGTACCTGTCACGTAACCGTGACATCGTAAATAACAGAATTGTTTATTCGTTCATGGAATCCTCCGACAACATGTAACTGAATCCATGCTATACCTGTTAAACAAAAAGATGATTATACACCGACCCTACAACAACTATGGTACAAAATTGTAGATGTTGATTTATAACTGTTCAACCACTGTGAAGCGATTGATCACGTGTCAAGTTCAAATAAATCGGTTCGAGTTGGTCGATGTTCCGGTATCTACGTTGTAATATATTGTTAAAAGTAATATCAGCCTACGGAAGCCTGTAGATGACATGGAAACAAATCTTAACATCATCGAATAGAAACCAAACGGAGCTTTGCCTTAAAATATAAATATCAGTCCAAATTATAGAAGTACAAGATAAAATTCTCACATAAAAATGTCGGCAATACAATGAAATTATCTTTTTTTTAGTTGTTTTTATTTATTTGTTTATTTATCTTTACGATTTGCTGACGTGGTTATGTTCTTGGGTAAGACGTTTTGTACATTTTTTCTGGATGGCAAATGACTGGCCTTCTGTATGTTATACAGTACAGTAGTCACCAGGTACGACAGTGTACAAGGATCCACACCTGAAAATGACACTGGCTGTTGACGGGCCGATAAGCTCAACCAACAAACATATGATACTTTTGGAATGAAGTGGGTGTACATATATTGTATTAATTTAGTAATGTTCTAAAAAACATTATTCTTTGTACATCGTGGAAAAATGATATGGGATATGTTTACGTGAAAGTCCAAAGGAAACAGACTTGCGGATTTATATACATGAGGTAACTTTAATACGGTTTAAACGTTTGAAGTTTATTAATTTTGTTGAAATATGTACTAAGGACAGGTTAATTTCTGTATTTTTCAGTTTTTTACCGCTGGTTGGGGCGCAAGCTAGATGCAACCAAGAACCCCTACACTGTGTTTGTGATGATTGTGAACCATGGCTTTAGGAACTGGGAACTTTGTATATGTAATAAAGGAACTCATCAAAGGCGTTTAGTTTGTATTTCTTTGGACTCACTCGACATCACACAGGTTGATGAAAATTATGGGAAAGTTTTCTGGTAGCCATAGTGATCTCATTGAGAAAAAATATCTTTATGCGACATGAAGTTGGACTTGTTTGATGCTCGTTAGTTTTCCTGTTGGTTCCGTTATTGTATACCTTGTTCTCATTTGAGAGCGTGATGTTTCATGGCGGGTGTCGTCGATGAAGCAGAAGACGCTTACTCTTCCGGAACACCTGGTCTTATTCTCCTTGTACTTTTTTCATAAGTCTCCGTGTAAGTCTTTCAGTTGTTCATATTTTGCCCTAATTTGATGGGATTGGAGTTTGGATTATTATAATTAGAAAAATTTTTAATTTTTTGTTTTTAAAAAAGCCAAGTCAATAATTCGCATCGAATACCAATTTTCCACGTGTTAAAGAACAACCTCCAACCGGATAGTTCATGCTTCAAAACATTCAAAACGAAAAACATCAAAATTACCAGAGTCTTTATGAACCAGATAAATCTTAGCGATTGTCCTTTTCTCAAATTGGATCTTTCTAGCAATTGAATTACTACTAAAAATGGTTTTTACTGACAAGATTTGTTCACATTCCTTACATTAACCAATAGATAACTATCAGCTTAGGTAGTGTATGTAGATCAGAGCACATTTTTTAATTTATCGAAAATGGCGAATAAACAGAAGCTGCCAAAAATAACATTTACAGTAAAGTTTACATTTGTTCTCGCCGAGCCCTCATACAAAAATAACAATATTTACAGTTAAGTTTTGACATGCTTTCACCGAGTCTCAAATACAAAAATAACAGCATTCACCGTAAAGTTTTGACTTGTTCTCGCCGAGTCTCCATATAAAGATAACGTTTACAGTAAAGATTATGATTGTTTTCGCGGAGCCTCCATACAAAAATAACACCATTTACAGTAAAGTTTTGACTTGTTCTTGCCGAGCTTCCATACAAAATTAACACCATTTACAGTAAATTTCACATTTGTTCTCGTTGATCCTCCATATTTAAAATGTACTTTTTATGAAAGCACACCGTGTTGCACACGACCCTTTAGTCTTACAACAGACAAAATGACATGGCTATGGGGATTACCGCTTTTTTTGTGCGCTGTCGTACATGTAAGTATAAACCTTTTTTTATGAAATTTTGAACGTTTTTTTTTCTGACAGAAAAATAAGTTTGTAAATTCTTTAACAATGTTTTCTTTTCGTCACTGACATAGAGATATCTTATGTTACATTATAATATCAAACAATTTTCAGTTGAACAGAGCTTCATACTTCAGACAAAAAAGTTAAACGAGAGACATCAACAAACGTTTGCTTGTAAAATATATGTGACATCATTTTCTATATTTAATTTGCCACACTATCGGGCAACTATTGACATCATAATGTCCAATATTACGTGACGTCAATATTGGGAAACATTTAAGAGTTTGAAAAAAGGCTTATTCATGACAAGCTTGCTTATGCCCTAGGCTTTCAGAAAAAAAATTAAAAATATTATATCAAAACTGTTATTGATTATTTTAATAGAACTGATGTCCACAGCACTGATACGTTAACGAACATTAAATAACAATAACTGTATTTTAAACACCTCTTATGTGATTAGTTGTACATGGACCACATGTTTCATGCCCGTGGGCATTAAATGATATATTTAAAACTCCTGTGTCTACTGGCTGTAAATGATTCATATTGACCAAGAGACAACATTTATCTTTGTATCCGGCAATGACATATGTAACATTTGTAAAGTGATGCTAGCGAATTGTGTCACTTTAATTTTTTTTTTTTTTTTTTTTTTTTTTTTTTTTTTTTTTTTTTTTTTTTTTTTTTTTTTTTTTTTTTTTTTTTTTTTTTTTTTACAAATTACAACTTTCAGTAAACTACAAGTGCATCTTTTTAATATAACAATCTAACTTTGACTGACATCTGCCAAATATTGATCGATACAATTTCTTAATAGATTATTGATTTTTAATTAATTATAATCACCTGTTAATTTTTCTAAGGTTGGGAATGGACAATCGCAGCATCCCCTAGACCGATTACTAGGTAGGTGTTTATATACAATCAATAATTTTTGTCTTTGTTATCAATTGACTTATTTTTTTGTTATTGAAAATTGAATTATTAATAAACATTTTGATTTTTGTCACATAGCAACGTGTCGTTGCTAATCACGATTATTGTGTTGTTAGATAAGTCATATGTGTGAACTTTTACTTCAGGTTCTTTAAACATAACCTGAGTTTGCGAACTGTTATTGTTTATATGTTAAGTGTTTCTTTTGCTTTCCTACAATTTCATTTTTAAAAGTTCAGGATGGAAAGTGGATTGGTCAAAAAGTTCGCCCCATAGATTATGGTCTTGTGAGATACAAGTCTATTAGATGCGGACTAAAAACAAATTTATATACAGACTTCAAAAACCGACTAACAATAATATCGTGTATTCTTTGAAGTCAACAGACTATAAAGCGGAACTGAAGCGTTTTGCGGTTACCTAACATGTAATTTTAAATTCACGTGTCCGGATAAACACAAATGCTAATTATAGTGAATTTTCTTTCTGTTTCGTTTCGTGTCAGATTAGAAAAAAATACTTTAAGATTTTTTATTCGTTTCGCCTAGAATCTAGTGAAAAATAGAAACAATATTATGACAAGGTCAGTAAAAATTGGATAAACTGGAAACGAATGTAAGATGCTGTTTATCACATAACTTTGATATTTTTTGCGAAATTTTCACAAAAGTCGTACAATAATTGTTTTAACGAGATTTAGATATGGGGACTCCACCATGAATATTTAGGTAGTTTGATATTGAAATAGTGTAGTTCTAGATTTGTTAATGCCTGATTAATACTTTGAGTTTATTTCATTTGTAATAATAATACAACGTTTGCCTCCTAACATCGCTGCATCGTGTAGTTCTAGTCATCATTTCATATACAATAGTATATGTACATACTACCAGTATCACATATAACAATGTGATATACATGAAAGTATTATGTAGGTAAAAGCTGTGATAGCTTACAGTTTTTTTACAGTCAATACAAACAGTTTCACACGTGTCAACTCTGCCACTCACGTACAAATGACATTTTTCTACGGATTTTTTTTTTTAGTTCACATTGAAAAAGTAGCAAAGACTTCTGGAAAGATCCGAGGTCCTAAGTCAGTACAAACAGTTTCACACGTGTCAACTCTGCCACTCACGTACAAATGACATTTTTCTACGGATTTTTTTTTTTAGTTCACATTGAAAAAGTAGCAAAGACTTCTGGAAAGATCCGAGGTCCTAAGTCAGTACAAACAGTTTCACACGTGTCAACTCTGCCACTCACGTACAAATGACATTTTTCTACGGATTTTTTTTTTAGTTCACATTGAAAAAGTAGCGAAGACTTCTGGAAAGATCCGAGGTCCTAAGTCAGTACAAACAGTTTCACACGTGTCAACTCTGCCACTCACGTACAAATGACATTTTTCTACGGATTTTTTTTTTAGTTCACATTGAAAAATTAGCGAAGACTTCTGGAAAGATCCGAGGTCCTAAGTCAGTACAAACAGTTTCACATGTGTCAACTCTGCCACTCACGTACAAATGACATTTTTCTACGGATTTTTTTTTTTAGTTCACATTGAAAAAGTAGCGAAGACTTCTGGAAAGATCCGAGGTCCTAAGTCAGTACAAACAGTTTCACATGTGTCAACTCTGCCACTCACGTACAAATGACATTTTTCTACGGATTTTTTTTTAGTTCACATTGAAAAAGTAGCGAAGACTTCTGGAAAGATCCCAGGTCCTAAGTCACTGAAGGACAAAATAGCAATCGTTGGAGGAGGACCATCTGGCATTCATATGGCTTATAAACTTAAGGTGTGTGTATTTCTCTCAGAGTAACAAACCATACAATATTATGGTGATGTCATTCTTTACTGCCACAATAAGTCTTATTACGCGAATTCAAACATAAAATATGATGTTTACGATAAGTTGTCGATAATATTATAGAATCTTGTTTAAAATTATTCTAATGATGACTTTTTCAGAAAGCTGGATTTAAAAATGTCGTTGTGTTCGAGCAAGGAAAAGACGTAGGTGGAAAATCGAGAACTATATATCACCGAGGTGTTCCGCAGGAGTTCGGGACATGCTACGGGCAGCCAGACTACGAGAAAATATACGATTTAATCCGAGAACATGACGCTGGAGACATCCTACCTATGCCTGGTCCAGACATGTGGGTTGATACCCCGGCGGGTAAAGGTGAGTGGAGAGATAGCAGATATCCAATGGGTGGCTGGGTAGAGATATAGATATGAATATGTACGGATGGGTAGAGATAAGTGGATATGATATGGACGGCTGGGTAGAGATAGGGGAATATATAGATGATATGAACGGGTGGGTAGAGATAAGGGAATATAGAGATGATATGAACGGGTGAGTTGAGAAAGATGGCGGGAGCGGTAACATACATTAGTTAGTCTGTTACTGAAATCTTGTTTTATCCTCAAAACTGAATTCATGAATTCACATGTCCACGAAATTATAAACACTTCGAAGTTCACATGAACTTCAGTGCTAATCGATTTCTTGAGAAAAAATTTATTACTAAATCAAGTTCTAGCAAAAAAACCTCGAAATTTGAGACCGACGAAATATATCGTTTTACAGTATCTTTTATCTAACGTGTGAAAAATCATGATAATGATTGAAATGAGAGGAATATATTCTCCCGGTCGTACTATTCAGTGTTTAGATAATCCTTATATATTGTTGTATTATTTTTCAGTACCACTTACGACATCTCAGTACTACGCTCTAGAAGCCCGAAAGTTGAAACCAGACCTGGCCAATGGTACTGAAGGTATATTTTTCCAGTCAGCTGTTCAAAAATACATTGGCATACATAGATCACTGTTCGGAGAATATGAGGGGATGTTAATGCCACGCCCAAATCGTACCGTATTAGATGCTACGGATAAGAATTTCTTGAAATTCTTACAAGAACACGACATCGAGATCTTAAAGGCGCTTTTCTTACCTGCTGCGACGATGCAAGGCTATGGTCACGTGGACGAGATTTCGGCATTATATGCAATGATGTGGTTGACGCCTAACTTCCTGTTAGGGTTGTTGCAACGAACTAATGGAGAGAGCAACATCAAAATCGTCAGCAAGGGTTTTCAGTTTCTTTGGAAGGAAATGACACGACAGAACAATCTAGATGTCAGACTAAATAGTCAGGTTATTGGAATCATACGATCACGAAAGGGGTTCCGAATAATCTATAAGGACTGCAAGTTTTGGCGTCTTGAAAAATTTGACTTTCTGATTTTGACGCCAACTATGAAATCATTGTCAAACGTGATAGCGTTTAACGATGAAGAAAACTCACTATTTCAAAAGACTTTCGGTTACTATTTCATTACAACTCTAGCTGATACGACATACGGGAGACGAAGTGGGGCTCCCACAGGTTACTATGCTGACAATATAAAGGGTAAAATTGACAATTTTGCCTGGGGATTTCGTGACTCGTATGCGTCTTTGAATGATATCGTTGGTACTAATTACTCAAGCGGCGTATATCCTGGAGGTACTGACGGGAAGAAAATACAGTCTTCCATATTTTATCAAATGCCACAGTCCAGACCAGACAAAAAAATCGCTAGAAGAATGTTACGGGAACACATCAGGAGCGTGCATCAGGCTCGAGTACTAAATCTTGAGAAACAGATAGTGTGGGACTACTTTCCAAGGTACTCTGTGTCTGATATGGCGACCGGGATATTATGGGATATATTTGATATGCAAGGAAAGTATGGAATTTGGTATATAGGATCTTCAGTATCGTATGAATCCCTTAACGGGGTCATAGGTTACAATAATTTGCTTTTGAAGCACGCGGAGTTGCCCAGAAAGTAATTCTGTTTATCTTGTCTATAAGCAATTCTCCCAACAATTTTTATATTGTCACAATGTGTTACCTGTACGTGATACATTAAGAGTGAATATGTTATGCAGTGCGTTTTGAAAATATTTTTCCGAAATTAGGAAATGATGAAGGTATTGCCTTTTAGGAGTCCCAGTAGTGATTTCTATACATTTAAAACCTTAACGTATACTTTAATGATAGGCATGTTTGTCTCTCATACCATCAATGTTATTCCGTGTTTACAGGACAACAGGTATATTTCATTAAAACTGTAAAATTTCGAAAGAAACAAAATTGGCATAAGCTATAAGTAAATATTCATTGGTTGACCTTTAAACAGTGAAATAAAACAATGTGCTTCTGCATTATCTCTGACACCTGTGTGCTGAGTATCTCTATGTCGATTCAGGAAATGTCATATCCTCAAAAAATAGTTCAAGGTAATAAACACGAGACTAGTCTGCAAGGGTCTAGCTTCGTATTATACGATGGAAAAAGCCGGCAAACAAACGAACTCCACCAAATCTAACTTAATATCACACACCGGAAACAGCCAGCCAACAAATGTTTACCATCAAATCTAACTTAATATTACAGACCGGAAACAGCCAGCCAACAAACGTACACCATCAAATCTTACTTAATATCACAGACCGGAAACAGCCATTCAACAAACGTACACTATCAAATCTAACTTAATATCACAGACCGGAAACAACAGGCCAACAAACATGCACCACCAAATCTAACTTAATATCACAGACCGGAAACAGCCAGCCAACAAACGTGCACCACCAAATCTAACTGAATATCACACACCGGAAACAGCCAGCCAACAAACGTTCACCATCAAATTTAACTTAATATCACACACCGGAAACAGCCAGCCAACAAACTGCACCACCAAATCTAACTTAATATCACACCCGGAAACAGCCAGTCAACGAACGTACACCATCAAATCTAACTGAATATCTCACCCGGAAATAGCCAGTCAATAAACGCACACCGCCAAATCTAACTTAATATCACAGACCGGAAACAGCTGACAAATAAACGTTCACCACAAAATTTAACTGAATTTCACACCGCAATCAGCCAGCCGACAAACATGCACCACCAAGTCTATGTACGTGCATCAACAAATATTACCTCATATCAAACAACGTAATCAAAATGTTGTCCTCTCTTTTTTATCATTAATAGACATAAAAGCCGAGGTAAGTGATATTTTGACAATACATTTACAAAGATTAAACTTGTTTACTGGAGACCATGGTTGAACCAGCGATTGAGCTGTATACAAAGTCTTTGGTATACGAAAGCACAGTATATTCCACATCCTAATAGGCTGATCGATTAATTATTTTTGTGACATACTGTCGATATCTAATTCCGTCCAGATATCTTTCGGCGGTAAAGGGAGAGACATGTACGGTTCTCATTCTTTTCGTCGAATGAGTTTCTGTCTTATAAAAATCTCAAACCACAAATTTTGTTTAAAAAGTGGAAATTTATAAATGCGTGTATTTGTCAAAACAACTGAAATTGCGTAATGGCTTACCACCAAAACCCTGTGCTTAAATATTTCAAGCTAGCTTCCATTGCATGCTGCCTTCATTTGGTCCATAATAGTTCATCTTTTAGATTGAAAGCAAATAATCGTGTTTGTGATTGCGATCAAAATATCGTCGGAACTTTCTCGGCGAATACGGAACTGCAGTGTGCCAGATGGTGTATGAACATTCCTGAATGTTCTACTTTAGCTATCAACACAAACAACCATGTGTGTTTGATGTTGTCACGGATCTTGTCAGGATCACCATTTGTCGGAGGGGTGGAATGGGTCATCTACGAAACAGACCACGGTAAGAAAAACAAAACTGCTATCGGCCCATTATTTACAATTGCCACCATTTCTCGTCAGTTATTATTTCCTCTCAGTTTTGATCATCAACATATCATTCAGAACATTTGGAAAATATATGACTGGACAGTCGACAATGATTGGGGGAAGGGCGGAGCAGAAAATTTAACAAATTCTTTAAAATCTTTCTTTTTCTGTACGAATTGCAGAATTTTGTCCAAATTTTGTCTGAAGCATCCTTAGGTGAAAAAAAGGAATTTTCACGTCGTTTAAGGGACTCGCAAGATTTAATTGTCACTGAAACTTTGTCAGAAGCATCCTTTCATGAAGGGAATCCAATTAGCAGTAAACGGTAGGTTTCACCGTCCTAAGGTTTTAGAGGCGAGGTCGAATAAGGAAGATATCTTATAGATGTAATCATTGAAATCGAAACTTCTCTTGTTGCAACGAAGTTTGACCTGATTTTGTTTTTAAACATCCTTGGGTGAAGAGAAACCAACTTTATGTAGACCAAAGTCTGCAGAGGTACATGGCCCAATATGTGAAAATTATATCATCTGTATGGATGAAGATTTTACAAAAAAAATACAGAGATTGATAAAACCTTTCCATACGAGCTAGATGTAGTAATGCCAAATAAAGAATAAAGAACTCGTCATTAATGTTAAGTGGTGTAAATTTTGTAGCTTATGAGCCGATTGATAAAAATCCGAAGTAGGTCGATGTTTTATTCGTTTGGTAGGTTTCTAAGATGACCAGTGTTTACATCATGGCTGCTAACACCACCCAAACCGATCGAGATTCCCTATAGTCTATACCAGAATGGTCATTTAAAAGTAGGCTGCACTATAGTCCATATCATAAATGTGCACATAATACATAGCACAACAGTGTATGATTTTGTAATTCCTCATCTTTTGGGGAAAATGAAACAAAATAATAATTTAAATTTTTTGAAGCGGAAAGTGAAACATCCATGTAAGCGGTACATGCCCCATGGGCCTGTTGTAGAGTGTATGACTGGGAACTACATTGTGGATTTTGGATTTGAAAACAATCATGTATTTTGTTTGATAAAAACTATTATATGTTTTTAGAAAACAAAAGGTGTGTCGAAGATTTTTGATTAGAACTGAGCACAACGAAATGTTCAGTGCGGACAAAGTCGTAATTTTCTACAAATGAAAACGACAAAAGAACACCAGCATTAGACAAATCGAAATTTAGATAGATGCTCAAGGAATTGAAGGCAAAATACATATATATGCCTAAATAGTCGGAGGGATTCATTACATAATGCTGCACGCGCTTGTTTAGTGAATTCCGCCCATTTCTTGCAATTCAGATTCAAATTATTGGAAGGTGTCGCCCGATCCCTCATTAGTACGAAGATTGTCAAACAAAATTGGGCGAAAAAGGTCATGACGAAGTAGGATTTAGTCTCGATTTAGCTGTAGTAGCACTGATTCCACTTTTATATTGCCAATAATCCCTAGAGCTAGAGCTGGTTAGCTTAATTCTTTGGTTTCGTCGAATTTTAATCGATTTGGAAGTAGATGGATAGGAAACTGTCGGAAGCTGAGACGAAACTTGGCAGTGTGTTGCCCGGAGCTGAATTCCAATTTACTCCTAATGCTCCTTTACGTGACCCTTTTTGGAACAATTTCATTTATTGTTGTTTATTTAGTCGGGTGTATAACAAGTCAGCAACACACTGCTTTTCTTTCTCTAGATAAAAGCATATCTACGGAAGCGTATTCCGGCCACGTTTTGTTTTATTTTAATTCGAAATTTTGGGATATTAACCAGAAATTTCGAGAAGGCAACTCGAAATTTCGAGTTAGTAGTCCGACATTTTGAGTTCGTAAGTAGAAATTTCGAGTTGTTATCTCGAAATTTCAGGTTCGACTTACAAACTCAAAATTTCGGATTACTAACTCGAAATTTCGATTTGCTATCTCTAAATTTCGAGTTGCTATCTCAAAATTTCGCGTTGCTATCTCGAAATTTCGGGTTAATATCTCAAAATTTCGGATTACTAACTCGAAATTTCGAGTTGCTATCTCTAAATTTCGAGTTGCTATCTCAAAATTTCACGTTGCTATCTCGAAATTTCGGGTTAACATCTCAAAATTTCGGATTACTAACTCGAAATTTCGAGTTACTTACTCAAAATTTCGAGTTGCTATCTCGAAATTTCGAAATAAAATAAAACAACGTGGCCGGAATACGCTTTCGTACATATCAATATGTACACCAATATTTTGTGATTTCGCATGATATATTTATTTTATAGTATTTTTCACCAATCATTAGATAAAATACATTTATCTCGGCACAAAAGAGCCCTACCAACATGAATTTTGTAAATTCCTATTTAAATCTCCTAATATACGTCGCCAAATTCATAGTGAACGGTATTGTAATGAATATTTTTGTTACATCCCTAAGAACTATTTTTAAAACGGTTGAGTTGTTCTGTCCACAGTTGATTGTCCGATCTCTGACACCCAGATGTACATACGGGAACTTAACACATGCTTATGGTACACTTCCCAGGGATTTTACACAGTTTACGAAAGCATCGACATCTGTGCGGAAAGTGGCGGCCATCTTGTAAAGATAGATTCTTATATGAAACAATCTCTTGTACAGAACCTGATTGGTAAGTTTTATAAAGTATCGCACGCTTTGCAAAAATACTGAGTTTTTTTTTCTTCAATGGGATCTGTTTGACAAAGATGAAAAATGCGTAAAATAAATAAATTAAAAACAGAATCGAAACAGAAAATTTCTGTGAAAAAAACTTCTCCGTTGATTAAAAACTTGATATTTCAAAGAAGAAGAAAAAATCGCAGTCATCTTATCTTTAATTCAGTAACGAGGCTGCTGTTTGCTACTTAGTATACAAGGAAAAGTAATTAAAACTGAACATTTTTTTAAAGTTTTACATAAAAGAAAAAGTGACATATCCGATATGACGAGATTCTGAAAAGGTATTTACATTACTACACAAGATGTATTTAATCATTGTAACAAACAATCTATCCGCTTGTTTCTAGTATTTCAATTGAACATTAATTGTTTTCGCATAAAAATGAAAACAGCTGAGCATTGATATGTAAACAGAAGTGTTCCTTCACAATCGATGTAACGATGACAATGTGTAAATAAAACAAAGATTTACGTGATAAATTTTGAAAACTTTCAAGTGCGGTTGTATCGACATAAAAAAGGAACATTGTCCAACATACGGTGGCCCAGTGTCAGAGACCCTCTTCACAACAATATCGTGTCTGACAAATAACAAAAGATTAAGCATTTCGGCCTTTTCTTTACAGTATAAATTATTGAACTGCAAATACATCGTATTTTACTTTGGATATCAATGAATCGATTCGACACAGGATAAATATTTACAAGGCTTATGTTCAGGGAGACTATCGAGCGTTCCTCTAAGGCTTAATTAGGTATTCGAAAAATGTTCTTTGATTACACAAATAGTGTGAAAAACATAGAGACAATGGGTGAAAGAAGAAGTTTAATGGTTTTTCAAGAATAACATACATATTTGTTTTATTACTTTCGATTATGGAAGTAAATAAACGACGTATGTTATAAAACGTGACAGACAGAAAAAAAATGGATGATTTACTTTAAGAGAAAAATATGGGGTGACAAGAATTGAATGATTCCGTAATTTGATATAACTTCGTCATAAATATCAATATTACTACGTCATTATATCAGTATTATTACGTCATAAATATCAGTATTATAACGTCATCATTATCAATACTATGTCGTCATAAATATCAATATAATGAAATGAGTCTTAGTAATTTTTATTTTTAGCAGTATTTTGGAGTTCTTATTTTTATTTTAAATCGAGAACTCAGAAAAAATACATTTTGACAGGTTTTAAGAACAAAATAGTAGTGAATAACATCACAACAGCAGCCATTTGGTTGCGCCATTTTCAGTTCATGATGTAACGTCATTGTCTATTTCTGGCTGACTCAGCCAATGGGAAACGTCCCAGTGTATATTACACTAGTGATATATACAAAAGTGTTACATGTTGAAATTCACAGGATGACAGAGCGAGTATGAAAGTTATATAGGTTTTATTGTATACTTTCTATATTGGGGTACACAAAACTTTATCAGAGTTAATGGAATCATGTCGTTACAGGTAAAAACGTGAAACGAGCCTACATTCAAGGCAACGATACCATGGACGAAGGTGTGTGGAGGTTTGACGATGGCTCCCTCATGACATACTTTAACTGGTATATTGGCATGCCTCGCGGCAGAGCAAATCTAAATTTTCTAATCATACGACGATTGTATGACTTTCAGTGGCAAGACCACGATATTGTGCAAAAAAATGAAGGCATATCTGTAATATGCGAAAAAAATATCGGCTAAAACAATCTGCTTCGGCACCGTTTAAGGCATTTATAAAAAAGAAATGGTCGTTGATTACTTTCTCGACAAGAACGAAATACCAATCGATGAACAAACATGATCCTGGATGTTCTGGCTGAACTCGGAGAACATTCTTTTTCCATTTTTATCAACTATGCATTCTTAAAAGATGGTAGTTCAGGTAAATGCAATGTACCTATGGCGGTGATAGTAAAAAAGATAACACATAAACTAGCTTGTTGTTTCTATAGTAACGGAGCTAGAATTCATTTTCACAGCTTTTATTTACATAGTTCTTCAATATTTCCCCTCAATTAAGGAAACTCCCTATAAAAGTATTTGTTTCTAATTTTGCTATAATCCCCTAAACTGGCTGATACTATCAAAGAGTGCAGGGAAACTATTTTACCGAATTTTGTCACACCTATCCACTCTACACCCTACTTATCAGAGTATAAGTCACACCTATCCACTCTACACCCTACTTATCAGAGTATAAGTCACACCTATCCACTCTACACCCTACTTATCAGAGTATAAGTCACACCTATACACCCTACTCATCAGAGTATAAGTCACACCTATCCACTCTACACCCTACTCATCAGAGTATAAGTCACACGTATCCACTCTACACCCTACTCATCAGAGTATAAGTCACACCTATACACCCTACTCATCAGAGTATAAGTCACACCTATCCACTCTACACCCTACTTATCAGAGTATAAGTCACACCTATCCACTCTACACCCTACTTATCAGAGTATAAGTCACACCTATCCACTCTACACCCTACTCATCAGAGTATAAGTCACACCTATCCACTCTACACCCTACTTATCAGAGTATAAGTCACACCTATCCACTCTACACCCTACTTATCAGAGTATAAGTCACACCTATACACCCTACTCATCAGAGTATAAGTCACACCTATCCACTCTACACCCTACTCATCAGAGTATAAGTCACACGTATCCACTCTACACCCTACTCATCAGAGTATAAGTCACACCTATACACCCTACTCATCAGAGTATAAGTCACACCTATCCACTCTACACCCTACTTATCAGAGTATAAGTCACACCTATCCACTCTACACCCTACTCATCAGAGTATAAGTCACACCTATACACCCTACTCATCAGAGTATAAGTCACACCTATCCACTCTACACCCTACTCATCAGAGTATAAGTCACACCTATACACCCTACTCATCAGAGTATAAGTCACACCTATCCACTCTACACCCTACTTATCAGAGTATAAGTCACACCTATCCACTCTACACCCTACTCATCAGAGTATAGCTTGTGCGTTCAATTTTGCCAAGACATGTTCCAGGGGTGAGGAGAGCAAAAGTGATCGTGAACCTTGGAGTATCGAGGCTGTATCAGCTGCATCAGCTGCAACAGACATAGATCGATATGGATACGAAAGTTACATAATGAATTGAGAATCGCACAACGAAATTACAGCAACAGTTTGATATTTTTCCTTCATGTATTTACGGTAAAACGTTACTTTACTGAATTATATTATAAAAGTATTTCTGAAATGTCTCTGAATTTTATAATAAAGAAAACAATGATAAAAAATGCCAACACTGGTTTTAAAAAAATCTCACTTGAAATGGAATTTCTTTTGAAATCCTGTAAACTTAAATCCTGTAAACTTTTACATTTGCATTTAAGACGTTTTCGTTTCCGACGCGTTCCACTATTCAAACTATCTTAACAAATTATCGTACACACAGGAAAATCAAGGGACACTGTAGAAGTTCTATGATTACACCCACCATTTCTAATTAAATATGACCATAGTTTGTTCTGAAACTGAAATAGCTATAGGGGAAAGTATTATCGTATATAGTAAGGGAGACAACTCTAATATAGAAATGAATGCATCTTAAAACTATAGTATATATTCATTAAGTCAACAGAAACTACGAAACTGTGCTAAATCTCCTTTGATGTGAGAACCAGCGATTTGTCTTTATACAATTTCTTTGTCATTTGCTAGCAGACCACCGCTAAAATACATTTCAGGAATATGCCAATGGGATTGCCAGCAGCAGTACATCGTAATGTTATCGGAGGCCTACTGTCTGTTTAAGATTTAATCAGTGTTTCAGGAACTTCAAATAATTCCCTTTCAACAAAGCATGTCAACTTATAAGTTTATAAAAGATGAAATTTATCATGACCAATCCTGACGTTTATATAAAAAACATCTTTGACCGTGTCGGTAAAATGACGGCTCCTATGGGCTATAAATGCCATAAAGAAGACGTGTCATTTTCAACGTCGCCAGAGAATCGAATCACGTCAACTAGACAATGTCCGGCGACGGGCAATCACGGAAACGATAAACCATCATCATCATCGTTGTTATTTTCACCTAGTGATGAATGACCAGCTGACCCGGTCCTCGAAATCGTATAGAAACGTTTTACATATACACATGAAATCACAGGTCCCTGTATGTGCACTTCACCGTATACTGTACAAATTATCATATCCAGCACGATCCCATTGGACCGAAAAGGTTAAAAAAAATCAGGTGTATAATTATCTCTTCTCAGTAGCACTGATTGTTCCTCCGACATTTGTACTCTGATTTTAAGTTTCATAACCCCTAACACGATGCGGGTCACGTGTTTCTAAATATAGCAAAATACACACATATACTCGCTAGCGAGAAGGTAAACAACACATCATTCACAGTCATGGCCGCAGAGTTCAGGACGGATGTGAAACACGATTTTGATTTGGAGGTCGTTCTGGACGCTTTCAACAGCTGTAATTTACCGGACAATAGTTTAAACCTTGACTACTATGTGGCAGGCTACCAGGAACTATGCAGGTACGTTTTGAATTGTAATACAGACAGGCCAGGCGGTCATGTACTGATCAGCTGATCACATAAAGTCCATGTGTACCTACTAAAGAATATACATATACATTGAAACGTCTCAGAGCTTTAGACATTGTGATGAACTGCTATTATGTCTTAAGAAAAAAAAACACCAGTTCTTTCTTACTTTGTACAGATATTTACACAGATTTAAGTCTATTTTTAAAACACCCTCACTTTCATAGCTTAATTCAGACGGTTTACATAGACTGCTAATATCAACTTACATTTCGCTTTGTATAATTTCTCAAAGATTGTACAACCACGACTAGAGGTATGGTCCTTGGTGTTTTCATTTAAACGCTGCAGTATCAACTTTACAGCTGTACAATAATATATTTGTTGATCATATCAACAGAGAAAATGGATCTGTTTAATACCTGTGGTTTCATAAAATGGTGGTAAAACACGACACGAATTCCAAATCGATTAATGAAATACATTTACAGGGACCCATGAATTGGTCCCGAATGTATTTTAGACATATACACCATGTCGAGAGATGTGATTTAAACCGAATACTGACCTACCCCCAAAACTGTCCAAAAAGTTATAAACACCTCGGAATATGTTAAAGTACCTTTCTAATATTTTCCGAAGTCCCTGTGATACATTTACATAACTTTACTGCGAGGTTAGGGTTGTGTCTCGTGCCAGTGTGTTAGTACACACGGCATGCCAGTACAGGTATGAAGTAAATACGTTGAATACTATAAAAACCTGTGGCCTTGATATCCCAATACCGAAGATACGGATTGCTCGTATTCAAATTTATAATTCTGTGTTAAAATATTCCTCTGACGTTTCACAAACTTATTCCTGTCTTTACGCTCATATACGGTTAATAGATAGGTAAATGTGTACAATATATGTACGATACTATACAATGTGAAGGCGAGGACTTGAACCGGTACAAAGACACCAACAATTCATACATATAAATAACTTAATGGTGACACCAGTTTTGTAGTTACATTCATACACGTAGCTCAACAAAGGTCCTTAACAACAACCCGCTTGTTCATTAGTGATCTGAAACTCATTCACTTGGGAGAGGCATCAAGAGAGAGAGAGAGAGCGAGAAAGTCACTTTGGAGCGAGATCGAGGGAGATTGGGGAAGTATCTAGGGAAAGAGATCTAGAGAGAGTAGGGAAGTCACATTGGGACAGAGATCTAGAGAGAGCGAGGAAGTCACATTGGGACAGAGATCTAGAGAGAGTAGGGAAGTCACATTGGGACAGAGATCTAGAGAGAGCGAGGAAGTCACATTGGGACAGAGATCTAGAGAGAGTAGGGAAGTCACATTGGGACAGAGATCTAGAGAGAGTAGGTAAGTCACATTGGGACAGAGATCTAGAGAGAGCGAGGACGTCACATTGGAACAGAGATCTAGAGAGAGCGAGGAAGTCACATTGGGACAGAGATCTAGAGAGAGTAGGGAAGTCACATTGGGACAGAGATCTAGAGAGAGTAGGGAAGTCACATTGGGACAGAGATCTAGAGAGAGCGAGGAAGTCACATTGGAACAGAGATCTAGAGAGAGCGAGGAAGTCACATTGGAACAGAGATCTAGAGAGAGAGAGCGAGGAAGTCACATTGGCACAGAGATCGAGGGAGAGCGTGGAAGTCACTTGGGAGAGAGATCGAGGGAAAGCTTGGAAGTCACTTGGGACAGAGAACCTAGAGAGAGCGGGGAAGTCACTTGTGACAGAGATCTTAAGAGAGCGAAGAAGTCACTTGGAAGAGAGGTCAAAAGAGCGCTTGGATGTCACCTGGGACAGAGATCTTGAGAGAGCGGAGGAGTCATTTCGGAATGAGATCTAGAGAGAGCGAGGAAGTCACTTGGGACACAGATCTGGAGAAATCGACAACACCTTGGTGTTAGAACATTCCTTATAACCTTTAGTATCACTAATAAGTAAAATTGATATGTAAGGTTCGGCGAATAGAGTCATAGATCGTGGAGGATAAAACCAATTGACAATGTTGTAACTGTGTGCGGTAAACTTCTAGATTCTTTTAATGTATTGTTGCCCTGACAAGGATTTCAGGGGTAAGAAGAACGACCTTTTGACCTCTTCCACAGAATAAATACAGACTCATACTAATCCATTCCTCTAAAGATAGGTGTTACATAACTGGTAACAAGTAGGTCTTTTATATAATATCATATATAATATGATGAGTAGCTCCATATCAGTCAGCGATTTTGATAGCAACAGAGAAAATGAAATATGAGGAACACGGAAATGAATCGCTCTTAAAATTGATATCGATACACATTGTAGATATACACTTTCCTGTATGATCAAACTTTGAACGTCAAACCGGGACACATGATGGTGTTAGATATAAACAACATCCTGTCCACGTTAGTGTGTTTATATACATATGTACACCAACAGTCTTGTTTTCGGTTCGCTGCCTGCGTAATTAACACCCGGATCTGATCCAGACGATCCATGACGGGAGATTTTATCTTCTATATAATCGAATGAAAAAAATATAGGAATATTATTAGAAAGAATTTATTGTGTAAATGTAGTCACTGTATTTGTGTAGGGTTCAATATTTTCTCGTGCTTACTGGTTTGAACGATATTCGACCCAAACGAAACTCAACAAAGATAAATTTATTTTAATATCAACTCGTACTGCATTTCGTAACCGGAGCAACAATCACCACTACCACCACCACCACCACCACAACCACCATCACCATCACCACTACCACCACCACTAACACCACCATCACCACCACCATCACCACCACCACTAACACCATCACCACTAAAACCATCACCACCAAGTTATATAAGGTTCGTAGTAATATCTTTTGTACATAATGCGTTAAAGGGAGACAACCCGGTATATACCTCGCAACTACAAAAATATGTTATAGATTACTAGTGAGCGTGGCATTTTCATATGTTCCCAACGCAGAATACGAAACGGATTTATGTTAATCAGAAAGTTTCCTTTAATTACACTGTATTATATCATGGTTTTGTATCCTTTTTTAAGAGGCGGCGTATTGAAACATTACACATTTTATGGGTCTTAAACACCTTTTTGATTTTTTTTCAGGTTTTTCAAACTGTCAGGAAAATTATTCGGATTTGTAGCAAGTGAATTGGAATCAAAAATCCAAATTCTGAAAACTCACCGGAAGTCAGAAAATGGAAATGCTTATGAAACGATTCAGTCTATGGTTGACTTCGAAGTTACCAATGGAATAACAAAGGTGTCTGGGTCTCCTCCATCTGGGTCTCGAACACTCTTACGCCTCCACAGAGCGCTTGGATTCATCAGCGAATTTATGGACAGACTTGCGAAAAGTGATGATGATGCGAAAACATCCGTCATAGCATCGGAAGTATACAAAGAAACGCTTGGACTGTACCATCCCTGGGTTATTCAGAAAATGGCTGGTTTCGCGATGTACATGCTGCCGAGCAGACGACAGCTTATTGATACTATGTGTAAACAGAATTACGAAAAGGCTTTGAATACATTACCGAAAGTGGTCGACGCCTTAAAACCTATTTATAACGTTACCCAAGAACTTTACGAAAGTAACGACTTGTTGAATCTACCATGATGGGTTTTCATGAAATATCGATCATTGTACGAAACTCAGGATTGGCTTGTTCGTTTTCATGGAAACTGATATTATTGTTGTCGAAGGATTGACCATTTACCTTGAAAGTCAGCGTAGAACAAGATTATTTTATGAGCGTAATAGTTATTTCTTTTCAAACACTCAAATTTATAGTTCATGTGCAACGGACCGCCTCCTCGATACTCCCCAGGTGACGATTGCTTTCGTTCTCTGCACCCTTGGAACATGTCATGACAAAATTGAAGACACAAGCGAAGCATTTGTATTGGTTTCAGGAGAAAACTAACCAATCACAGGCTGATACGCCCGTTCTATTTCGATCCCCTTTTGTCCGGCGTCGTAAACTTAAACTTTTTAACATTTTTGATTTTTCAGGAATACTCCTGAACCGATTGCAATGAAATTTTACATAAAGTTCCATGGCTGGAGGTGAACCAAAATTGTAACCATACGTGCAGGACCAAAAATTATCAAATTCAGTGAAACTTCAAAAATCCTCTCAAGTCCCAGGTATGGTAGAATAAAGTATTATACTCTTCATTGAGGGGAAGGCCTTCAGATGCTCTACCAAAATTGTAATTTTGGGTTTCACATTTCCACCAGGAGAGGGCATAAAGTTGACTATAGTTCATATAGGAAAATCACAATTTTGGACATTGTTTCTTTATTTTCTATTAGAAATAGTTCAAACCTGGTTATAATTATTAGTTTAAGAGGACAATTTAATGAGATACACATATTGACCTCGGCTGACCCCCACGGGCTGATGGGCTAGGCCAGAAATGGGTCAAATTGACTTAGATTTCAAAAATGTACTACCGTCATGAATGGAAGATTTTTATATGAAAATTTTAATCTTAAGTGTAATTTCTTTTAATTCAAACCTGGTTAGAAGCCTTATCATGGGACAGTAGTTAATGTATACACAAATTACTTTGTCATTATGTGTACAATATAGTTATGTGACTTTTAAAAAAACAAAAGCACTTCTTTAACATGTTACAAGAAGCATTTTGACTAGGGTGACCGTTAAAGCCCTTGTTGAAGATTACAAAGGAGCGACAACCAACTTCAAAGTCACTACAATATACCTTTATTTGACCCCGAACTAGTCTTCTTCTCTTGTCCACAAGATGTCGAACACGGAACCTTCAGTTATGCCATGACATGTTCCAGGGGTGCAGAGAGCGAAAGTGATTGTAACACCTCGAGTATTGAGGAAGAACAAACCGGTGGCCGTAAACGTTTTACATTCCTGTTATGAAAAAATGGTAAATCCTTTGTAATGTATGTAGACGTAAGGCGATCTGGCAGCTTTTGTCCTTCGATCTCATGAGACTTTCATCTCCACCTCCTTTTTTGTTTTTGTAGTTTTAATAATGAGAAGAACTTATGCATTCCCTTAATGGGTATTTTTTTAACCTCTATGATGTCGCAAAGCTTGTATGAAGGTGAGGGTGTGAGGGGTGATGGTGAAAGTGTGCGTGTGAGGGCAAGGATGTGAAGGTGTATGTATGTATGTGTATTGTGACAGGATATGAGAGTGAGGCTGTGATAGTGTATATGTGTGTAGTGACAGGATATGAGGGTGAGGATATGATAGTGTATATGTGTGTTGTGACAGGATATGAGAGTGAGGCTGTGATAGTGTATATGTGTGTTGTGACAGGATATGAGAGTGAGGCTGTGATAGTGTATATGTGTGTTGTGACAGGATAGAAGAGTGAGGATGTGATAGTGTATATGTGTGTTGTGACAGGATATGAGAACGAGGATGTGATGGTGTAGGTATGTGTTGTGACAGGTGTGTGTGTGTGTGTGTGTGTGTGTGTGTGTGTGTGTGTGTGTGTGTGTGTGTGTGTGTGTGGGGTGGGAGTGTGTGTGTGTGTGTGTGTGTGTGTGTGTGTGTGTGTGTGTGTGTGTGTGTGTGTGTGTGTGTGTGTGTGTGTGTGTGAGTGTGTGTTGTGACAGTATGTGTGGGTGAGGATGTGTATGTTTGTGCACGTCTTTGATAAGGATATCATTCTATAAAATTAGTTCACTCCACTCGATATTTATTGAAGATGAAATCCATTTTGATTGAAATAGAAATATATATTTTATACACACTATTATATTTATGTTCATCAGGAATAAATATGGCGGTCACTCTATACCGCACCATTATGTTGGTTTCATTTTCTCTATCTGCACAACCTGCACGCTTATCGCACGTGCGTTTACAGAACATATTTACACATGCCTCTATAAAGCCAATATAATGTACAGGTAACCCAGTTTTCGTTGCCTGTTTAACTGTAATATCAACTATCACGACTTAAAAGTTGTGCTTTAACCCTTCTATTCCTGTAAACGACTCCTGAAAAGACCCTTCATCTGCAAACTGATAACAGTACAACTGTCTCGGAACCAAGAATAGCAAAGAAGTGTGTATGTGATACCTGCAGAATGTTTTCTCATAGAAACAATATATTTCGGTTTATCCAAAGTGTTACAGGTTAATTTAGAAATTCACCACCTTCTGTCCTAAAATTGTTTTGCCATAAAAAAGACAATTTCTGTTAAAATGTCACAATTATGATAAAAATTCACAAATATGAAAGCTATGGTCAGAGTACCATTGTAGGACTCCACAAGAACATACAACGAATAGCTACCATAGCATCACCTTCTTATCTAATTGTTAGCCTTTCATTGTAGAACTTGACAAAACTTTATTCTGAAGGAAATATCAAAAAGTTTATATCGTCATAGTTCGTGTGCCTGGTAGTTCCGTCTGTCTGTTTGAGATTTGTTTGTTTTTCCCTTGTTCTCATTTGGGAACATGATATTATTTTGATTCACCAGGATTTATAAACGGGTGTCGCCGATGGAGCAGAAAGCGCTTATTCTTCCGGAACATCTAGTTTTATTACCTTTGTACTTTTTCAGGAGTCTCCGTTTCAATCTATCTTTTTAAATTTATTTTTATCGAATTTGAGTTTGAAAAAAGATTCTGTCGACATGTCGGTGTTTTCCTGTTTTTTGATTGATTCATCACCATTAAACCATTGACCAAACTTTCTCAAAACGTAAAGTAACCAAACTTTATATCAGTCGAAATTGAAAAAGGACTGACAACAACTTGAAAAGACGACTTCGGGTCATATAGCCTGAAAAGTCGACATTAAGCATAAATACTTTACCAACATCGACTCCCACATATAATTATCAAATTGTACACACGAACAAATATAAACTGGGACATGTGTATGCTTCTTCTTGGTAGAGGTCAACAGAAACAATATTATCATTAAATGTTGCTGATAAATATCCTCCACCCTCGGTATTTCAGGGGTGACGACCATTTCCGCTCTCTGTGCCACTGGCTGATACAGTCCTTGTAGATTACAAAGGAGGAACAACCAACCTCAAAACAATATATATGTACATCCAAGGATCAAACTAGTCTTTTCGTCTTGTCCACAAAGTTTTGCATATGGAACCTCAATTTTGCCCGACCTGTTCCAGAAGTGTAGAGAGTGAAAGTGATTGTAACCCACCGGAGTATCGGGGATGAACATTCCCATGAAAAATATACAATAGAAAACTAACTTCGGTACCAATCTAACAGAATTCCATAGAACACATACTTCGTAAAAGTTAAGTTCACAGAAAACATCAAACTTGAGGCTAGAAGATGTGGCTGGTTATCACCATGAGAAGTAAAGGTCGTCAGCAAAGTTATCTTCCGCCTATATGAATATGTGTTCCAACACCATTCTATGATATGTTTCATGCTGTCATGTGTTTGATAACATTATGACGAGATAAATAGATAAAAGGGAAGGTATACAATCAGCGATGTTTTTATCAACGAGTATTTCGGGTTTTCGCGCAACAAGGTAAGACAGTAACAAATGGACAAAGGGAGGCTACTCGAAAAAAATGAAATAATTTCAATATTTGACGACTTTTGCGAGAATATCTTTATACTTGAAGAATTAAACGCTCATTTGTAGTCGGTAAACTTAACATCCACCCTTTGATAAAACCTGATAAATATAACTGGTCTTATCTGTTTACACTTTTCTTCTCTGTAATATTTTACTGTCACATAATGACCTGCAGTACTGCAGTAAAATAAGTTTACTAGCACTCGATCGGGAACAGTGTTCGAACAGTTGTTCTATTTTTAGTTCTCGTTCCACAAAGTGATCAACTTGTCCACGCATGCTGCATGATAACTACGTAATGTGGGCACTTTTCTTCCTCTAATCAGAAAAGCTCTCAAACAAAGCGATGATTGTATGAATTCAAGCACACGACTGCGCTGCGAACCTTGTTGCACACGACAAGTGTCCAAATAAACATTGGTTCCTGAAAGGCTTGCACGCTTCATTTTTTTCGTATTGTGGACAAAATCAAACAAAATATCTTACTGAAAAGAAAATTGTTGCATCAAGTGTATTTGAAATATTTTTAAGTCTAGATAAAATGAATATCGAAAATAGCATTACAGACGTTTAAGGTCTTAGCTAATGTGGAAATCATACTGTAAATGGTTATTTCGTGGGTATATAACGTTGGAGATATGTAACACTGTTAGAGTATCAGAACGTTAATATCGAGGTGACCTTTCATAAGGTCATGACCTTTAATATTCCGAGCAGGGCTTTTTGTGGCAGCCATGATAATTATACTCGAATGTCATGTCACGCTTCACGACTTCTTAATTGCTTTAAAAATAACCATTATTATAGCGCCCAATAAAACACAGCATTTCAAACGAACACATTTCATCACTGAATGGTAGCATTATGGCCACTAGCTCAATGAAAATGATACCGAGCCTTGGTCGTCCAAATCTTATAAAAGATTGAAGTAGCAGAGATACATATACATGTTACACGTGTTTATCAACATCATAGTTAACTTCAATGCAATCAGAGTACAACACACAGCGGTGCAATCTGGACATGTATGTTGTGGTGTTGGCATAGTTTGTTGATGATGGTTACTATCAAATGGCAGCTGCATGTCACACAAATAATGATAAAAAACATTATTTGTAAAGGAAGGGAAAGTATGAAAGTTTTGAATTTTCGCTTACAAACAATTTCTGAAAGAAACAAGTCAGTCTGTGGTATCATAAAGTTCACATTCATGGTAAGATGTCAGAAAAAAAACTTTTGATCGTTAAAATTCCGGTTAATATCACGTTTTATTCTGACAAGTGATACTTGATATTCAGCAGTTTTTCCTGTATGAAGACATCTATGACTGAAGTGAGCGACAGCCTTTGAATATTAATCTTTTGGAACAAACTTGTGATTTTTTGTTGTTCTTGATCTGAGTGTCTGAATGAATTTGATAGGGGTTCAAATGAGTTCTGATGCCGAGATGAATAACTTTGATATGCAGTTTCGTGCGATGATATTCTGGATAGCAATAATAAAACTCCAACCCCCACCGCCTCATCCCTCTTCCCGCACCCCTTCCTTCAAAATAAAAAATATATTTGGTAATGAAATTGAGATTGTGAATTTTCTTAAACCTTCTCTTTTTCGAAAACCAGCAGAGGTTCTTTAACGTGCACGGCGTGACTCACTGTATATCGGACCCCCGTTTAACGTCCCTTCCGAAGGACAAGATGTTTAGAAGATAGCGGGAGAGAGCGTATGGGAAAGTAGGAAATTGGAAAATAGGTTTAGCTTGTTAGCTGGTGTAGGTTTGTTATTGGTAGATGGGGTTCTAGCCACCATTTGACAAGGCTAGTCATGATGTTCTTGAGTGGATTTAAATGTGGGTAACTGTGTTATTATGTTCAGTTATGAGAGTGGATGTGATGGGGTGATGTAAAGAATGTGCTGGAATTGGGTTAGCGTAGATTATTGGGATTAGTGAGAATTAATATACAAACGATGTAGTTCGGAAGACTGTAGCGCTTTTGGATATTTCTTATATAGTTTCATAAAGTCGTCTGTGTGGGTATACACTCATTTGCATACAGGGTACACAATTTCACTTAAAATTCAATGCAACTATTAAAACCAACTTGTCGGGAGTTATTTAAGTTTAAAATAACAAATTACGTAGCAATATTTTCACGAAAAGGCTGAAATATGGTGAGATTTGGAAGCTATTGGGTTCATTTTCGACAATATTTATTTCTTCGTGTTAACATGGGTTACGTCCCCTGAGCGCTTATTGAATCGTAAGCACGTGAGCGCCCAGTTAGAATGGGGTCAGTCATGGATGTGTGATTTGATCAGATTTGGACTCGGAGACCCGTGCAGTCATGGTTGTACAGGTATCTGTTGTGGCCTACTTAGAGGTTACACATCTACTAGTCCGTAACAGTACGGTACATAACATGTCGGACTTATTTCGAATTTGAATCCGTGGTAGCATAAATACCCACATTAAAAATCACAAACAAAAAATGACCACTTTCAATGATTATTTAAAAAATCAGAGTGTTACAATTCAGTTCAACAATATCTTATGAATAAAAACATCACATCTTATTATATCAGTGCAAATGGTTAGCTATTTCGAAGGACGCCCCAAACTGAGATCTAGGTTTACCCAGTAATCATTTTCATGGGCTAATTTCTCATCGTCTGACTCTATGTCCTATATGAATTCACACATTACTACAGTCAATATACGAAGAAATAATCTGGCATATGATAAAGAAATCCCTGAATTTGGTTGAAGATTAACAACTGAAAACACTTGATCAAGGATTCGGATGGGAAGGAATTTACATCTACCGTAACTATATCTTAAAGTAACACATTACACTAACGAAAAG